ACTTCCATCGCTTCCTTTTAGCCAGCTGTCCAGGACTGCGTCAATTCTGACCCATGGAGATCCTAGGTGTCTCCATGGAGACCCTTAGGACCCTAGGTCCTAAGGATTGTCACTGGCTGAGTTTTTGAAAGTAGGTCCCCAGGCCTTTCTGTCGAAGTGGATACCATCCTCCAACCCTTGGGTAACAGCCCAGCTCAGTGAGCCGGCTGTAGCGGCCAGGGATGCCCGCCGTCCTTCTGATGCTGTTTGCTGTGCTGGACGTGGTGGAGGTTTGGACTCCTGGTGCCCGTGTGACAGGGTGGCGCTGTCCCATCGGGTTCGCTTGGCTGTCATCTGTGGCTGCAGATGGCCAGAGCTCTTCTCCTGTGGGCTGCTGGCTGGGCATGAACTGCCCACTTCTCCTCCAGTGTGGGACTCTGGATGGCCATGCTCCTTGCTGGTGGACGTTGGCTTCTGGTCCTTCCGTAGGCACCCTGGGCTGGTAGAAGCTGGCCAGGCACCTCAGGAGTAGGGGTTGGGGGAATGGCTGGTTCTCAGGGGAGACTCGGTGGCCCATGGGATGCCTGATGGGCGGAGAGGCTGGTGACTCAGAAACCAAGGGGACCTTAGGGACAAAGGAGTAAGCGGACAGATGACCAGCTTTGAGGGCTGCTTTTAAAGATCCTGACTCTGTACGTTGTCCCTCCTCCCCCGCCCCCCCACCCCCCCACCCCAGAAGCTCCTCCACTTTAGGACCCATGTCTTCATCCTGGGCCCCAGCATTCTGCGGTGGGACACGTGCTTGTCGGGGTTCCCAAACTGGGGCGATGGGGGAGGGGTCGGTTTCCACAGGTTAGGGACAGGGAGCAAACAGAGGTGGTGGCTAGGGACAGCCTCAGAGAGGCCCTGCATGCTATGGAAGGGACAACTGAGGCTTAGCAAAGGGACCCAGCTTTCTCAAGACCACGAGACAGCAGCAAGCACCTTCCCTGGCCTGGGGGTGGGGGTGGGGAGCACCCATCAAGGCCACAAGTAAATGGGGGTTTTCCGAGGGCGCTGCAGGGCGGGTGGGGGAAGGGCGCTCTCCCCGCCTTCCCTCAACAAACATCCGCTGGTTTTCCCGCGCCCCACCTAACAGCCAGGGCTTTAAACAAGCAGGGGAGACGGAGACAGGGGTGGGGGGGTTTAAGCATCCCTCAGCGTCCCCTTCCAGGTGCTGACATTTAAGCACACCCTCAAAAGCAGCTTTCAGAGTCCCCAGGGCGCAGCCAAGGCAGAGGAAGTATGCGTGTGCCCGCCGAGGGTGGCTGGGGGGCGGGCAAGCAGGGGAGAGGAAGGAGGTGAAACCCTGGGCGTCTACTCCCAGGGTGACGGGTCTGGGGGGTAGGGAAGGATCAGACTTCACTAAAGGCTGGTGGGCCTGGGGTGGGTTGGGGGTGTCCAGACTGGGCGCACACCGTGGAAGTAGGGGAGGTTCTTGATGGACGCGGGAAGGCTGGAGCTGAACCAACTGCCACAACGGAAATCTTTCTTCCCTCCAGCCTTGCTGCCCCGTCGACCTTCCCTGTGGGGCCCTGTTCCTAGCCGGTGCGCACCCTGGACCCTCCCCCTGGACCCTCCCCTTTCTCCTTCCCCGCAGCAGCTTGGTGGAGCAGGCTGGGGAGAGGGAGGCAGGTCTAAGACCCTCGGGTGCTTGGCTAGGTGAGGTGACCCAGGTGCAGCGGGGGATGTGGTGCCAGGGCTGACCGTGTCCAGGTCGTGGAAGGGACCTCCCTTGGTTTAATGCTTGTTCCTGTCCATGGCTTGAACCAAATTTCTGACCGAAGGCCCCGAGTCTGCGCTTTCTGGGTTCCATGAACTCTGCAGTGGGTTCTTGCGCCCGTGGTGAGCGTCTGTGTGGCAGGAGGCAGGGACCAAACTGGAAGCAGCTTCTCCCTGCTGGGTCCACCCCACAGCCCAGGAACCTGGGCACTGACCGGGCACCAATGTGGAGGAACTTGGAGCAGTCCAGAGCTGCCTCCTCTGCCCACACTGGCCCCTCAGAGGGACGAGTGGGGCGAACCACCCTGGCAGCTGAAGTGCCCTGTGGGTCACAGCACCTGGTCTGTGGCTGTCCTGAGCGTAGGACACAGGCAGACTTGCTGAGTTATGTCTTATTTAAGGCGACCAGATGTCCCGCTTTTCAACAATTTGTCCCGCGTCCCGTGGCGTTTTAAAAAAGTCCCAATTTTTGGAAAGAATGCACGACAAGCTAGGGAAGGGACTATACGGCTTTTGGCTGCCATGTGGCTATTTCGCCAGGATATGAGTTTTATATTATTATTGCTAATTTTATAATGTTGAACTTTAATAATAACAAATAATTGTTGAGAACTGATTATCGAGAACTGCTTATCAAAGTTCGCATTGTTGATCAGTTGTTAGAATTCGACCACCATTGTTTGGACTTAATGAACAATGGCATTTTGGGGCATTGGCAACGACGAAAACATTTTGTAACTGTCTTTCAGACGATACACATCGTACTGCGCGCTAGTGCTAGTTAAACAAGTGATGTCAACAAATCAGCTATTCAGATAACTTAGGTAATTTACTTATTTATTTCATAAATACATAAATTTTCTTGAATTTAACACAGTACTGGAATGATGTGCAAAAATCATTCGATCATATTACTCAAAATTTCTCATATAGTAATATTTCTGAAAATGATCTTTTTAATGAGGTATCATTATATTGATAAGGAAAAGGTTAAATCTTGGGCATCAGCAAAAATCACAATAGAGAACAAATGGTTAGAAATATTTCATCATTTTGAAACAAACCATGTTCCATACAA